TGTAGTAAGTCCGCTCAGTGACAATGGCAAACGTGCTCTGATGGGTGTGCAGATGTGTCTCGTGCCCGATGACTGCTCCAGTGTTGCAATATATCTCTACACTCGTGAATAATCATCCGCATGTTCCTCAACGACTCTGATTCTTAATTATAAACTTTGAAAGATTACTTCGCTCCGTGTGTGTTTGGTTCCTACTTCTGATCGTCCTCTCGAGCATCCCCGCGGATGCGTCGGTCCTCATGGTATGCCCACATGAGCATATGCCTATCCTTGTCAAGTCCAGTTGTGTCCCGACCCTTTCCGAATGTCCGACGAGAATTGGAATGAGCTCTTCGGCGAAAATCTTGATGACCTTCCTATAGCACAAACCCAGGTGACCAAACCCCCACAAGAGGGTAAAGAAACACGACTGAGGAAGGGTGTGCTCGACGATGAATCGGACGTGTCTACAGGCGGTCAGCCACGTGGAGATGCTGAGGGTATCACATCTAATTCTGAAAGGTTTGACTCTTACCAATATACGTAGGTTCACCATCTGGTGAGATCTCGGGCAGTAGCAGTTCCTCATCATCGGAAGAATCTGAGGGCGAGGATGGAGAAATGGGCCACAGCCTTGAAAAGAAGCCTCGAGAGAGCAAGCTGCTACAACCTGTAGGATGTGTGATGGTTGGTGTTATGTGTAGCAACTTATGTGAAAGGCCCTCGATCGTCTCAAGAAGCGCAGGAAGAAGAAGGAAATGGACTCGGGAGAGAAGTGAGATTGGCTGATTGATTCTTGTCTCTTCATTCGACGTTTCAGATTCGAGAGAATGGAGTCATTGGTGAATAGTATGTATGATGTATCGGCCGCGGATCGGGAGTCCTTGACCACTGGTAGCTATTAGTTGATTTTGAACTTCGATTTCAGCGTTCACGTCCATGTCAGGACAACCCGCATTAGCGAAATTACAGATGCTGGAGAAAATCCGCGGAATTCTTGTTAAGCAGGTAGAGTCATGCGCTATCTCTCTTTATCAGAAAGGTTTGGTAGGCTTGGCAAGAGCCTTTCATTGAGGCTGGAGGACTCTCCGCGATAGCCGACTGGCTTGCTCTTGTTGGTGAGTCTTGTGTTATTATTGGGAACTGCTAATCTAATGCGA